TTTGTAAGATTTTTTTGGTTAAAAAAAAGAGAAATTAACATTTTCATCTCACCTAGTAACAAGTTTTTTCTTCGAATAATGACAGAATTTAATGAAATTTTAAGATGAAGCACAAAAAAAAGTTTACAATTTTTCTCATTTAAACTAGAATCTTGTACATAGTTTCGTTTTTAAAAAATGAGGTAAATAAATGTTAAATTTAAGTTTTCGAAATCTAATTAAAATACGATTTATTCAATATTAACAATAGTATGTTACTACTTTTGTGATATGTTTTGTAGTCAGTAAATAAAATAAATAGTGATACGAATTGAATGCTTTACAATAACTAAAGTGTAGACAGGATCATATGATGCATTTTAATAAAACTTTATAAACAGTTGAATATATTAGTTGATCTAAGCTAGACCATCATTGGAGACCTGAAACCTTTGGACTGTCATTTCGTCATAGTATGCGACTCCTCACCGGTGCTCATCCACAGTCCTTCACATATGTCTCGAACCCGGGACTTGGGGTCTCTCGCATAATCGCCTGACCTCTAGACTGCTGAGCTGGCACCCAACGGCGTCAGTATCTAACTCTAATTAATCCATGGTCTAGCGAAACCCATTACCTATTATTGGAAGTAAATAACTATATCTACCTGGCACAGACTGTACTCCATTGGTCACGGCTACTCACTAGAACTTCAGGAAATTCATCATGAAGCTAGTCACTAATGAGCACATGATTATTATTGGTATGAGGATTTGTGGAGATTGTAGTATTTAAACAATTGAATTCACTTATGTTCACCTGTTTTTTTTCTGGTTAGCGTTTTTTTAGCAAGTTAGCTTTTCTACTGTATGGAGCTGAAACGTGGAGAACTACTACGATCATCATCAGGAACATACAAGTATTTATAAATAGTTGTCTATGCAAAATACTCAACATCCATTGGCCGGATACTATCAGCAACAGCGTTTTATGGGAGAGGACAAACCAGATTCCATCTGAAGAGGAAATTAGGAAAAGACGTTGGAAGTGGATGGGACATACATTGAGGAAATCACCAATGTGCATCACGACTCAATCCCTAACTTGGAATCCGGAAGGGAAGCGGAAAAGAGGAAGGTCAAAGAACACACTACGGCGGGAAATAGAAGCAGATACGAAAAGGATGAATAACAACTGGAAAGAACTGGAAAGGAAGGCTGAGGACAGAGTTGGATGGAGAATGCTGGTGAGCGGCATATGCTCCTCCACAAGGGGTAACAGGCGTAAGTAAGTAAGTGTTAAGTTGGCTTACAGTAAACACTATCACAGCCTCCAGAGGCTCATAAAGAGCCCCAACCAATCAGCGATTAATTAGAAGCTATGCTACTAAAATAACGAGATCCTGATTGGCTGTTTAACACACTGCTACTATGAAAACTCAAGGTCTCTTAATTACTATAAAAACCCTGTATTTTCTGTACATAAATGAATTCTGTAGTAAAGCGCTTCCCACATACTTTGGGCCTTTTCTCTGGTCTTCAAGTCAGTGTATAGTTCTAGCTCGGGGGTACGGAACTAGATTAGGGAAGCGAATATAGCGTTCACAATCGGTCAGACGTAACAGTAAGTATATTCACCTGTCAAAATATTACTATCTCCAGTAATCCCCATATCGATTAGATCACATTCAAATTATTCTACAAAATAAAAAAACCCACTTGTTGTCTACTTAAAGTAATAAAGGTCTGTTATGTATATTTTTTTATTCTAAAGGGATAAATTCATTTAAATTGATTACGTATCTAATCCAACACATCATTACAAACCAAATAATTATCTGTGGTAGGCTACAATAATAATCATATTTCCAAATGAATCATTAGAAATGAAATTCCAAGAATTTATCTTTGTATTGTTCAACTGGGTATATTTTGTTTATTAAAAAGCTTAATATTTTGTTGGGTAAATTCATTATACATCTTTATAAATTGTTTATGTTATTACAATGTTACATGTTATTATAATCTCGAAGAAAATGGGAATTCAAAATTGTTTATCAATCACAATGATCATGAACATTTAAATAAACATAGAAGCATGATGGAATATTTTTAATGAATAATAATAATGAATACATCAGTTAACCATAATAATCGACTTTCATTGGTTTAGTTTCATCGAAATCAAATTCAATATAAGTTAAACAAACATTGGAAACCTGAAAGCATTGAGTAGCTATTTTGTTTCGGTATGGGACTTCTTAGATGTAGGTATCTATGGCTTTACCACTGCGGATTGAATACAAAGTTTACGGTTTTGTACGCAACTGCTTAACCTCTAGACGATGTGATCATGGCCTAATTGAATATAAATCTAACTCCAATCATTATACGTTATGATGAGACTATTTTCAGAAATCTTCAGAGAGTATCTTTCCCACACCAGACACGTTGTCGTTTTTATTTTGTTTCATAGTAGAATGCAACGGCAGTCCAGTGCTTTCAAGTTTCAATGGTGAGTTTTGGTGTTTTCCATAGATATTAGTGAATGGATTTAGCATTCATTATCATTTTTCCGGTTATACACAATCAGGCAGACTTATAGATGCTCTTAACCATAATATAGGTAAATCATGTTTCTCAGACCAAAATAAAATCAATCATTTTGCTAGGAACTAATGCCAGTTTCTTTTAAATAACATTGAATCTATTTTAAGTCTGTTTCTGTAAAATAGTTAACAATAAACCTATGCATTACAGAAGAATAATTCTTAAGAAGTACACTACTTCACTGATCCACATTCACTGTAGATCATTAGATGTTTAAACATAATAACATTTGTTGATTGAAAAGTGAAATGAATGAATGACAACCTCCAGCTTTTTTCGAAGAGAGATAATGTTAGTCATAAGAATACACATCATGTTCAACTGCTGATAATATGACATGCGAATACTTCGTCACTCGATAAACTTGGTTACAATGGCTTCTAACATTCATTTTTGTTTATTTTGAAATCTACAGTAAAACTTATATGAACTGTTATTAATACCGACAGTTTTAAACTATGTACATAAGAGAGATCATGAACCAATCAATATTAGACCACTATTGAAAACCTGAAAGCACCGGGCTGCCGCTTCGCCCTAGTGCGCACCAGTATGCATCCACGATCCCATACATTGGACCTTTTGTCTCAGGCGCAAATGCTGAACGTCTAGACCACTCAGCCGAGATCTAACTTTGTTAATGTATAACATCAACTAATCCTCTGGTGATTTACCTCGACAGGTAATTCTCGGAGTTCTAGTGAGGAACTGTGACATATGGAGCTCAATCATGTCAGGTATAGGACAGTTACCACCCAAAAACAATGGAATATGGTAGTTCAATGTAGTGAATTGGTTGAAGCTAGACATTAACCCCGCTGGATGACAGGTCAGTGGTTTAGAGGTTAGGTGGTTACTCTCGAGATCGAATGTCCTGCGTTCAAATCATGCGTGTGGAAGCGTGGGTGCGCACTACCAAAGAGTTTCATACTATGACGAAATTTTTAATAGTGGTCTAATAATGGTCGGTTTATTGTCTCAATTAAAACTCAATAATCTGTATAACCCTGTATTGTTGTGTATATAATAGTTTAAAAAAGTTCGCTACTTAGAAATGTTAAATTTCAAATTGATTCATACAAAATTAAACTCTAGTCTTCCAAAATTTACTGAAGGTATAGATATCAAACTTTTGAAATCACATAAATATGTTATAAGAGAAATAGTGATGCACTTTTCTTTTTCATGGAAAATTATATTAAATTTGTTATATCGTCCTTCTTTTTCAACTTTTTTTTATAATTTAATTTCATCATTTTCAAAATGGTTTTTGAAAAATTCATTTGTTACTAATTGGATAGCATCAACTCATGTTATTCTTTACTAACATTAACCACTATTCAATTACTTCGTTACGTATTCAACTTTGATCTTTAATTATTGAGTAGATACTCTAGAATTTTCTCTCTACTACTGTATTTATCGGAAGTAATATTTTCTCGATTTCATTAATATGATCGATATGTTAACTCCTTCATGAAAATGCATATTCCTTTATAATTACTTTCAGTCTCATAAAAAAATGAGAATTCCCATGTTAATTTTGATTTTATATAGATTAATAGTAGTCGATGTGAATCTAACCAAATGCCCTGGTACAACCAAGAGTAAGGAGGGTCCGCCCTTTCTCTCTCTCTTTAAAATGCTCTCACACGGCTACGCGTATACAACCCCTACCAGCGAAGTCCTGCTCGCTGCCTTCACATGGCATTACTGTTTTTTACGAAGTCGAGAGGACGAAAAGCTAATGTCCGGAGCTTTAATTGGGTTGGTGGACATGGCGCGTCCACCAAGGGGAGTTGGAAAACCCTGATTCTAAACCAATGGTTACACATGGGCTCCAGTATCCTGAGGGAACAAATGGCGTATGAATCAAGCATCGGTCACCGGCTACCATGGGACTGCATCTCCTTATGTTGCTACACTGTCTTGTAGATCAGACCTTTAGGTCGAAGGCTCAGGGTGTGGCATCCTAAGAAAACCACCTGCTTCAGTCTGGGCACCCAGGTAGTATCATAGCCCTCACACAATTAAATGAAATGACAATTTTTTGTGTGGCTCATATGTATCTGGTGCCCCCTTGTACCAATATTTATGTGTCCAAATAAACAATAAATAGATGAACTTCTGTAATTTTGCTCAAATTTTTATGAACACCCACTTCAAAATCAACTTATTTTAACCAATCAATAAACAATAGTCATGGTGTTATCATTAAAAAAAAAAACAAAACAACGGATGATCTATTCTCAAAGTAAAAATTAAACTTTCCTCAAGCATAAAAGGTCAGATATGATCAAATCAATTTATTGTACAAAGTATAGATAATTCATTCTATCTGTTGAAATAATAATAAAACAGACATCATAAACATAAACAAATCAATCAATACAAACAAAATTAATTATTTACCGAAAATTAAATCCTGAAGCTATTTTAGCATGTGCATCATCTAATCGTCGAAATGAATAAGTTGGATTACAATATTGAACATCCCAATCAAGATCACATTTCCAATCAATATCAATCCCGATTACACCACCCTATTATTTAGAAAATTTACAATGAACATAATGAGTATTTTTGAAAGTTTATATAAACTACTTATATTACCATATCATTCAGAACTGGAAAAAGATTGGTATAAACATTAAAAACTTGTCAGTTTCATAGTTGATAACTAAAGAATGAACAAATAATTGTTGTTTAGTTGAATTTGATGTCAATATTCTTTGAGTAACATATAAATATCATTCTGTCTATGATAACTCTGAAAAGTGATTCGTTTTGTGCCATAAATGCCTAGATCTGTTTGTTTTTAAATAAGTGTTCTATGAGGAACTGTAATCAATATAAGCAGAGATGGATGGTGGCTAGTAGTGGAATCCAGGACGCACGCTCTAGCAATATAGAGGCGATTCGCACAGTATACACATATGCCAATAAGAAACTGATCACTTTCAGTCTTAAACATCGATGAAAAGGTTCAAACAACCAATACAAAATGAATTAAACTTCAATTAATGTTCATTCAAACTAACGTAGTCACAGATAGGTTTGATTTATTTGCTGTAATAACAGTAGATTTGCACTATGATTCATTTATTCAAACAACCATCTATTACTGATACGATGCTCTAAGATTAGGCCTAACAGTCAGGTCTCTATTGAGTAAAGAATGAATAACCTACAAATTAATTTCCTCCAATCGTCTTTTACATTTTATCACGTTTATTTTGTATTCATAATTTGGATATAAACACGGTGTTATATTACATAAAAATTCATTCATCTGGCTAGTGATTATGTCTTTAAGTACTAATCGTTTTTCTTTTTTTGGGGAGGGCACTTCAATGTTACAGTCTTATGAGTAGCCATCATTCAGCCAAAATATCATGTCATTACATTCATTTATCTATTATCAGTTAAAATTTTGTCTATAACTTTTATATTACTTACATAAATGATTCTTATTATTATCAGAAGGGGTTTTGTAGAGATTCAGTATTTCCATAGTTGCAATCTTGAGTCAATTGAAGCTAGACCACCAAGGAAAACCTAGAAGCACTAGACGGCCGTTTCGTTCTATTGTGGGACGCTCACGCTTGCAACTATAAATGATTCTACAAAGCACTATGTTAGTAAATACTTTTCTTCCTATTTGTTACCAGTTAAACCTTACAAATACAATTTCACAAGCGTAATAAATATAAACAAAACACATATTATTATGATTAATAAATTGAAATTCACATCTAATTTTTTAACAATTCTCATACAAATCATTATGGTTAATCAGATTTATATCTGTGAAATAAAAAGAGATTACTTCAATAAATAAAAACATTGACTTTGTTACATGGATTAACTTATTAAAATGATTAAACATTTAAATTTTGGGTAATGATTAAAAACTGGTGATTCTTTCATTAGTTCTTAGCGTTTTTTTAGCGAGTTAGTTTTCTAAGGGATTGGATCGCTAACCCTATGCCCAACCCTCCTCCTTTATCCGGGCTTATGAATGGCAGTAGCCCCGGAGGAGCTAAAGGTGGAGTTTTTCATTAGTTAATAGTCATTAAATACATGTGTGTGAGATTAAAATCACTTCATATCTGTCTTCCTTCCTGTACTATATCCTTATATACAACTTTTTTTTACATATTACTACCGCTAAATTAACTACTTCTATGAATTCGGTGTTCATCTTGTTGTGCTAACGAGATATGGCAACTTGGACCGATGCATATATGTGCCTGGTTCTACATTGTAGCTGACTGACTGTGTACATGATTTGATTATTTTTCATCGAAAAAATAATTTAGTGATAATTTCAGTTTTCTAGAGTTTATCTATTTAAAAATAAGTTATTAATTAGTTATAATGTTTTATTTTGAAACATTGTTAAACAATTATAATATTATCAGAAGGGGAGTTTTGTGGAGATTTTAGTAATTTTATATTATTCAAATCATGATTCAATTGAAGCTAGATCACCATGGAAAACTTGGAAGCACTTGACGGCCATTTCCTGGAGTTATAGTGAGAAGCATTGACCAGTGGAGTTCAACCAGGTCTGTAGGGAGATATAAACTCATTGAAGATATTGGTGAATGGTTGCTCAACTTCGTGTATTGGTCTAAACATTAATACCGTTGTATGCCGGCTCAGTGGTCCAGTGGTTAAGTGCTCGTTCACAAGACTGATAGATCCTGGGTTCGAATCTCTCGAGGTGGAATCGTGAATGCGCACTGCTAAGGAATCCCATAATAGGACGAAACGTCCGTCCAGTGCTTCCAGGTTTTCCATGGTGGTCTAGCTTCAATGGACTCATGATTTTAACTTTACAAAATGGTAATATTAATTTAAGATATTTATCTCTGTACAACTCAAACATTATAGGACTATGTTTGAAGCATTATTATGGTAACTATTATTATCGATTTTCTCCTGATATTTTGATTTATTTCTTGTTTTCTAAACATTGTATTTCTTATTATAAATAACTGATATCGGTTTATATATGACATTGATCATTTATTTTATGAAGAAAAATATTTTAATCTCATCCTAACGTTGAACAAATTAGTTTGGATGTTTATAAACATAAAGTTATGAGATTATGGAAGAAAAACTTACATTCATAAGTATATTTTGAAACAATGGACAGTATCTAAGTTTTGTTTTTGAATAAATTTGTTTAGATAAATAAATTGACCTTTTAATAGTTAAATTCATGAGTCGATTTAGGCTAGACTATCATTGAAAATCTGGAAACATTTGACGGTCGTTTCATCATAGTATGGAACTTTTCACTAGTGCTCATTCATGATTTCGCACGAGAGATTCAAACCCATGACCTTCTGTGTCACACGCGAACACTGGGATCGTTAATGAACACCGCTGTGGAGTCTCATACTAGGACGAAACGGTTGATGAATTCAACTATTAAAATAATTATCACAATCTTCACAAATCCCTATTCTGATAAGCTAATTTTCCCTACAAATCGTCAGTGTAATACTACTGAATTATTTATTCTATGTTTTGATCTTAGGACCAAAAAAGATATTGTGCTTTCTTTATGGTTATTTACAAAAAAATTTGAAATGAAGTAACGCAGTAATCAGGTATGCCATTAGTTTTTGTTCACATATAAAAGAGATTGATCTAATCAGATTGTTTAAACCGTTCTTTTCAAACTAATTAAATGTCATAGTATAAACAAAATCATTGTTTCAAATATTTCTAATTAAGTTTGTGTAGGCAAAATGAAACATTAAAATTTTTTTCTTCGGACAAAAAGGCCGTCCAATGTTTCCAGGTTTTCCTTCGTCGTCTAGCTTCAATTGATTCATGATCTCAACTATGAAAATTATTTTTTAATAGATTATGTATTTTATGAATAATTTCATTTACTCAGACAGGAAGTAACAATCAAATTTGATAATATGGTAATAATAATTATAATAATAAGAGTTACGTAGGCTAATTGGAAAGTTTTACGATAGGGACAAGTAGTGAAAAGAGTTATTTCAATTGTATTAATTTATATAAATGCATGATAATTATATGACTATGCGTATATTTCATATAGATTAGTTGGTATTTTATTCATACTACTAATAAGTAGATTATGATAATGAGATCTTTGAATGATTCGATATGAGAAAAATAATTTCAGTTAAACGCTGACTTCCTGTTGGCAAAAAATTTAATTTTAATTAATATTAGTAATATTGTAATAATTAGTTCAATCGGTAAGTTATATATTGAAATTTTTATATATTAAATTTAATGATTTTAATTTCAGTAGTTGAAATCATGAGTTAGTTGAAGTTAGATCACTGTGAAAAACTTGGAAACACTAGATGACCATTTCGTCCTATTGTGGGACTCCTCAGCAGTGTGTATTTATGATTCCTCCTCTCAAGATCCGAACTCAGGACCTATCAGTCTCCAACGCGAGTGCTTAAGCTGTAGACTACAAAGTCGGCTTCCAATTTTATTTTATTTAGTCTCAATTTGCTGTAGAATAAATAATTTCATTACAAACATATCATTTCATAATTAAAAAGATTTTCATTGACAGTTTATTGTTATTTGATGGTTTAATGTACTCATTTTTAATACTATAGTTGAAAATTCCCATAGTAAGTAATTCGATACAGAAGATTCATGATAATGAAAGCTAGTCGGAAAAAAATGGATGGAATAAATTTAAAAAAAGTCGTTCTATAAAATTGTTGTCACAATGAAAACGTACATTGGATATATGATGCGGTGATAACTTTTGAAGTTAGATATGAGGATATCATAAATAGATCCCTTAATTTTCGAAATAATATAATTCGGTTTGAAACTTGAAAAAAATGGGATCATTTGAAGTCAGTATTTGAAAAAAAATAATGATAAGATAGATAAATAATTTTGTAATTTCTGAATTATTTTTATCTGATAAGTTTTCTTTCTTACTTTTTCTTAAAATATGTACAATGTACTTAAATTGAACAGAATAAAATGAAAACTAAAGTTGATATCATGAATGTATCAATGTTAGACAAACGTTGAAAACCTGAAGTACTTGACCGTCATTTCGCCAATGTATGGGTCTACTCAGTGGTGTACATCCACGATCTCAAACATGGGATTTGAACCCAGGACCCTCAGTCTCATACGCGAAAGCTTAACTTAGGAACTTTTGAGCCAGCATCCACCGTGGTTTGGTTAAAGTTGGTCACTAACACCGTTGGATGCCGACTCAGTGGTCTAGATGTTAAGCGTTTGCGTGTGAGACAGAAAGTCCTGTGTTCGAATCCTGTTTGTGGGATCGTAGATGCGCACTAGCGAAGAGTACCATGGCGAAATGACCGTTTAGTGCTTCCAGGTTTTCAGCGGTTGTCTAACATTGATCTATTCGTGATATCAGTCTAAACTCAACAATCTTCACAACCCTTTACTGACATTACAAAAACGTTAAGTGAATGAAAATGGCCAAGTGGAAAAGCTGAACGTAGGTTCCGTTCAAGTTAATACTCATTGATAT